TGTATTGGTCTAAAAATCCACTGGGTATTGCCTATGCATCCCCCCTGGCCCCCAATACTTTTTTTTTTTTTTTTTTTTTTTTTAACCTTTTGGCCGCGGCGCCGCATGCCATGTGGGATCTTAGTTCCCCGACCAGGAATCGAACCCGTGCCCCCTGCACTGGAAGTGCAGAGTCTTAACCACTGGACTGCCAGTGAAGTCCTGGAATCTCAGAATCTCATTTCCAGGGTCATCTGAGTCCCTCCCCCTGCCGCAATCGGGGTCCAAGAAGTGTTGCCCAAGCACCTGAGAGTCAGGAGGTTTCTGTACCCACCTCCTCAGTTCTCCTTTACCAGACCATCCAGTCCAGAGCAGGGAGCCTGCCCCGCCGCACGCCACCTTATCAGTGGCCGGATTTTTCTTCCAATTACTTAGCCCTCCAGGGCCCTTTCAGTCCTCCTTAACTTTAAAAAGACATCATCTCTTTCCCACACTCCCTCTTTCCCAGCCAAGGTTGCTGAGAGGCACGAACAGCTGCTTTCTGCCCAAGTTCAGAATCCTGAGGACCCTGAGCTTGGTGGCAGTGAGGGAACTGGAGGGAGTATGGAAGGAGGGAGAAACAGAGGTTCAGCAAGAGGAGATACAGAGAGGAAAATGGAGAAAGAAATTTTGACTCAGTAGACTACTGAGTATTTGTAATCACAGGCATATAAACATTTTAATCCATACATAATGCTAAACTTTAATTCAGCCACTGGTTTTAATCTTCTTATCTACTGACATTTTTGTCAGAACTGCAAATAATGCATTACGAATGTTTTCAGTGTTTTGAGTTTTACAAACTCCCTTCTTTTCTGCCCAAAGGACCAATAAACAGCGGAGCAACAAAAAGTCAAAAGAAAACCAACCAGTAGAAAAGAACAAAACAGGTAATCCGTAAACAGAACAGTCAGCTCCTTACCAGTGGACTTCACTGTGTAAAGTGGGGAGGACTTTGTAGACATGGCGGTACACCTATATCCACATCACCGCATGTCACGTGTACACTCCTTAGCACACTCTGAGGTTGAGACTGTAACCCAGAGCTAAGTGACTTGGGGCAACAGTGAAATGCTTTATAAGAGAACGGGGCTGTGCATGTGTGTGCATTTCTGGACGGCATCCCAATGCTCAGAGCTTGGCTGGAGCTGCTCTCTAAACCCTGCCATCTGCCTGCCCCCCTGCAAAAACTTCTCAGGGCCTCCAGGACCAGCCCAGTCACCTTCAGTTCCCTTCCCTGATCCCAGAGTTGTCCTTTCCCCTCACGGATGCAATCCACACCCGTTCCTTTTCCTCAGGAACCACATTTGCATTATTTTCCTTAGAGGCCAGAATTCAGCCCCTGCCTAGATCACCCACCTCCATCTCAGTCAGTGTTCTCATCTCACACCCCAGGGGTATCTTTATGCCTGAGCCCCTGCCTCTTCTCGGAGGGCTTCATGCTTTATCTGACCTTTGCAAAACCCACGTGGCACACCCTAGTTTAGCCTCACCCACACTTCCCACGCTGTCCCTGCTCGCTGCTGCCACCGGCAGGTGGGCTTCGTTCGCTAACAGCCCACCCAAGCTCCACCGGCCGGCACCCAGCTCTGTGAGCTGTCAGGAGATACATCCACTGTCCATAGGTGACGTACCCCTCATGATGCTCATCTCTCACCACCCCGGGCTTTCTTCCTTATCTAGCCAAAATCTGTTTAATTTCTGCAAGATTCAGATCCTTGGGTTCCCCTTTCATGTCATTAAGGGCTCTTTCCCACACCATTTTCCTCCTCCCCAGGACTCAAGCGTAATGTGTCCCAAACTGAACTCCTGAGCCAGTTCTCCCCCATCTGAACCCCCGTCTTTCCCATCTCGGTTAATGGTAACTCCGTCTTCCGCGTTGTTCAAACCAGACCTTCACTCTCTCTCACCGCCCATGCCCGACCCGACTTCTCACCACCTCCTCTGCGTCCAACTAGCCCGAGTCACCCTCGTCTCTTACCCGGATCAGCAACATTTTCTCCTGCTTCTGCCCCTCCCCCTGCCCCTGCCCCAATTATTCTTCTGTTTGAAATACTATATTCTTCACCTAGATTTTTGCACTGACTATGTCCTTCAGGTCTTTATCAATGAGACCTCCTCTGATCATCCTTTTTAAAATTAAAACTCCCAATACTCCCGATCTCCCTTCTCTGCTTTACTTGTTGCTATAGTATGTGTCACTAACTTTATTAACTTATTTTATTGGCTGTCTCTTCCTATTAGAACATAAGCTCCATGAAGGTAACCATTTTTTATTTTATTTTTTATTTATGGCTGTATCCCCAGCATCTAGAAAGTTACCCGCACAGAGTAGGCACTGCATAAATATTCGTTGACTGAATGAAAGAAACTATTGCCAAGCACTTTCTCCCTCTCCATTTCTGTCCCTCCTTTCTCAAGCCTCTCCTAAAATATTCCCTACAGCCCTGCTCCCTCACCCCAGCTCCGGGCATAAGACATTCTCTCCATGCATATTATTCTACCCACTTTCCAGTGTGCCCTCTGATCTCACGTTCGCTGTACAGGAACCCATATGTGGTAGGAGTCTATAGGAGCTTATGCTAAAGGAAATCAAGAACAACCCCCAACATCATTACTAAATCCCCTAACTTTTAATTTCTGATTTTTAAAACATGGTTTGCAGTAAACAGTAACAGAAAGAATAACAAAAGCTTGTTAAAACTCAGCCCAGTACTACAATATGTTAAACAGCTGCTAAAAAGGCAGAAACGGGATTTCAGGGCTTGAAGGATGAAATCATTTAGCACAGCTCCAAGCACCCAGGGGGTGTCCAATAAATCTAAACTGATGATGATTGAGATGAGATTCCCAGGTTCCTGATCTGGCAGGGCCCTCCTGAGATCAAACCATCCGTCCCTCTGTCCTCAGACAGATTCCATAAAATCAAGCCCACATGAGTGCGCCACCCCCAGTGCCGCTTTTAAAGCCGTATAAGAAGCACAGGTCCACAACCTCTCTTGGTTACTTGATCCCGGTGGGATCCTGAGTGGCAGGGGCAAGAGTGCCCCCCTGAGCCTTTAGAATCATGACACTGAGGCTCTGATAAGCAACTCTTCTAAGGAGGTGGGGGTGGGGAAATAGAAGAAAGCAACCGAGAGGGGAAAACACAGCTCCGCTCTCAGGAGAGAGTCTGGGGCAGTGAGCGAGGCTGAGGGGGAGGGAGAAGGAAAAGCACAGCAGGAGAACTGGGGCACAAGGGGGGCAGACACAGCGGCAGAAGTAGATGATGAGTCAGAGAACCTGAAAGGGCTGAAAAGTTCAGGGAGAAAACAGAAAAGCATCGGGGCACGGGGGGAAGAGAGTAAAAAGCTTTCGGAAAACACCCAACACGCCCTACATTTTTCCACCCTGAACAGTGATGCGTCTGGAAGCCCTGCTGTTTGTTCCTTGCTCCACCGACAGATGGAGCACTTTAGAATGCAAAGTGATGGAAACTTTTCTGAAGGCTCGGACGAGCAGCACGGCAGTTGGACCCTTTACAATACAGCAATCCTGAAACAGCTCTACTGTTTTCTCATGAATGAGCTAAAAAATAAATGCAAACTATTTTCTTTTATCCAATTCATAATGAACACTAATAGAAAATATACTCAAAACAAAGATGGCGCCTAGAAAAACGGTTTTGGTTAAAACTTGACAGAAGCACATCTTGTTGATAAAATTTCTATTTGCAAACTTTGATTTAGAATAATTGGACCTGGTAGATATAATGTCCATAAAAGTACATTTCTAACTGCAGATGCTATAGTTGGTTGACGTGAACAAAAAAACTTGATCAACAAAACAAGAGAGTAGAAAATTTTCAATGGGAAATAATGATCCTGATGAGAAAAATTCTAGCAAAATGTTTAACTGGAAACAATTTTACTGTGCTAGGTAGGCAGGTAGGCCAAACAGAGAGGTTCTGTCCTTTGTGTATGAAAATGACATTATTGGTAATATAAGAGTACATTGTTTTATATATAAAATAGATAATCAATAAGGACCTACTGTATAGCACAGGGAACTTTACTCAGTACTCTGTAATAACCTGTATGAGAAAAGAATCTGAAAAAGAATAGATATACGTATATGTATAACTAAATCACTTTGCTGTACACCTGAAACTAACACAACATTGTAAATCAACTATACCCCAATATAAGAGAAAAGAAAAAAAAAGAGTACAT